TTCAGTGTTGCTGATTATTCTCCCTTCCTTGCTTTTCGCTGGTCTTTCTGGTTTACGATAGTTTCCGGCCAGCTTCTTTGTTGTTTCGTACAATTGTCTCAAGTTTCCGTCTCTTACAGCCTTTTCCGCCGTCATTGCTATATCCTCCACATTTTTTCGTTTGTCAGCTCTGATGCTCTTCTTCACTTCCCTGTTTGCTTCTGTGTATGCAGCTTGTGCGGTGACTTTCTCTGCTCTTGTTCGGCTGACATTGATTGCTGCCTTCTTGTTCCTCCTTTCTTCAATTTTTGCAAGAGTACCAACAGAGATCCATTCCTTGTGATGCTGCTTCTTGCGACCAAGGACCTCCTGATATGTTGAAGTGATTGCCTCCTTAATCCCTTTCCGATTGTTCTCCAATGTTGCGTCCTCTCCATTGAGTAGATCCTCAAAGGCCTGGAACCTATTGGTGAGGGCTATCTTGAATTCGTTGAGCTTTACAGTATCCCGAAGAAAGACCGTATTAAACTTGTGTGATGTTGTCTGCCCCGTTGTCCAGTGTTTCTTGAGTTTCATTTTCATTTTGGCGATCAGCAAGTGGTGATCTGAAGCTATATCAGCTCCTCTCTTGGTTCTCACATCCTCCATGGTCCTTCTGAACGTTTTGTTGGTACAGATATGGTCAATTTGGTTTTGAATAGTGTGATCCGGTGAAACCCATGAGGCTTTGTGTATGCGTTTGTATGGGAATATTGTGCCACCGATGACCAGTTTGTTGAATGCACATAGGTTTGCAAATCTCTCACCGTTTTCGTTCCTTTCTGCTAGTCCATGTCGTCCCATGATTTCTTCATATCCAGTGTTGTCCATGCCAACTTTGGCATTCAGGTCTCCCATAAGGAATGGTCAAATCCTTTGGTGAGCATCTGTCGACGATTGACTGCAGCCTTTCGTAGAATTGATCTTTAACGTCGTCATTGTAGTCATTGGTAGGTGCATAACATTGGATGATGTTCATTGTAATCTCCTCTTTCTTTGTTTTGAAGGATGCTTTTAGAATCCTTGGTGCATGAGATTCCCATCGTATCAGTGCCTTTTGTGCATGTTCGGACAGCATCAGTGCAACTCCTTGTGTGTATGTGATGCATTTTCATCTTCATGACCAGAGTATAACAGCAGTTCCCCTGAAACTAGTCTCAGTTGTCCTACCTGTGTCCAATGCGTTTCACTGATGCCGAGCACCTCGAGGTTGTATCTTTTCATTTGTGCCGCAACTTGAAATAGTCTTCTAGTCTCCCACAATGTACGAACGTTCCATGTACCTAAAAGAATGGTTGCTCTGGTTGTGAGAAGAGGCATCGGCCCCGTGACTTCCGAGGGAACTTGGCTTTTACCACGCGACCTCATAATTGTTCTTCCAACTTCCAGGGCAGAGTTAAAATGGTTCGAATTATTTTTTCTGGTTAGAGTTTTTTTGGCAAGTTAGTTTCTGACGGAGTGAGGTCGCCAACCCCATGTCGAACCACCCTCCTTTATCCGGGCTTGGGACCGGCAGTAGCTCTGAAGGTTCTCCGGGCGGAGTTTTATTCATGCTCTATTTATGTGTTTTTCTTATCATCAGGACTTACAATTTACTTTTACTTAAAAAAAAAACATATTTAATGTAGGTTGCCAGTTATGAATATGTTCAAGTAAACTTTTGCTCTTTTGGGTTATCACTTTACTTTTTCGTTGAGTGCCTGAAATTTCAAGCTCATTGTAGATTGCAAATGAAACTAGTTGATGAATTATAAACACACTTCTCAAATTATTCATCATTAGGTACGGTACCACACTATTCCATAGTCATGAAGTTCTATCTAAATAACCATACTGAAAAAGAAATCTGGTTCTTCACAAGTAAATAATGTATTTGTCGTTAAACATCTGTCACATAAGAAAAGACTAACTCGTGAACTGAAATGATTGTTGATCGTTTTTTCTAGATGTTTTGTTTTTAATTACAATGGGGATTGAATATTAAAATTATATTGAACCTGTTAATCCTTTTACACATAAATATTTTACTGAGAGTGAATGTTATTTAAGTTCATATTATTCGCTAAGAAATATCTGTTTGTCAATCTTATTAATCTGACACTGTCAATATAGGAATTAACACAAGTGTAAACATGGTTTATAGAGTTATATAGTTTCTTACCCATAAAATATAATGAACTGAATATATTATTAATAAATCTCTATGGTTTCTGCGTCATTGAATCCGAATAATTAACTAGAGATGTCAGTTTAAAAACCTTTCGTATACATTCGTACTTAGTTATTATCTCTATGCTAGTTGAATTAAATCAACTATTCAATTTATTGGATTTGATTAGCTCCAATATAAACTTTTCCTTTATTCACATATCTTAGTTATGAAATTCTTATTTTTTTATTCATATATCATCACTATTAATTGTTTGTCTATAATGAAAAACAACCTAGGTACTTCATAGTCAACTCATTCATCGATTGAATTCGCGTACTCTTGATAAACAATAATAACGATTATCTGCGTAAGAACATTTACAATAAAAAAAATAATAAAGCTGTACAATATTTTGACTTTGAAAAGCTCACTATTTCGATCAAAGTTTGTTTAATGCGTGTATTTACATTAACAGCAATGATTATCATGCTTAACATTACGCTTTGGTTATTGCTGCTTTTGTGTGTTGTTGTTGTTGTTGTAAAATTATCGAACAGATCATTACAACTGCCGCTTCTTCTGATGAATATTCATTGTGTTTTTGTGATTATTTTGCTACTTTTTCTGCACAATTTTTGTATGTATGCGTGTGGTTGATAATATTTTCACTTTACTGGTCAAATCAAAACCTTCCATTGTGTAAATTTGTCAGCCGGACATGATCTAACCAATAGGCTTTATTCAGGATTATCTAATTAAAATGGAATCATCGTTAACCATTAAGTTGATGTTCAGTTCCCATATTTTCCCAACTGCTGACTAAAGGACGAGTTTACTGCGCAGTAGTTCGCTCCGTCTTACTTTATGGCTGTGAAATATGGCCAGTGAGACTAGAATATATTCGTAGGGTAGTGGTTTTCAATCATAGGTGTATCCGAAGCATTGCTCGTATATCGTGGGACAACCGAGTGAGGAACGCTGTTATTAGAAAACGGGTGCTAGGTAAGAATGGAAGATCAATAGATGAAGTAATGAAACTTCATCAGTTGAGGTGGTTGGGACATGTGCTGCGTATGTCTAACCACCGACTGCCTCGATGAGCTTTGTTTTGTAGTGTAGGAATAGGTTGGAAGAAAGTTAGGGTTGGCCAAACCAAAACATGGCAGAAATCCATGAAGTCATTGACGAGTGGACTGAGTCATGTCGGTAGTTGTCGACTACCTGGTTGGGGTCCGCGAGATGATAATAATCGATGGTTAGAGACCTTGAATGACATGGCTCAAAATCGTTCTCAATGGTGCAGGTGCATTTATGCTTTGTGTTCTCTCAAATCCTAATCTTCTGGATTCTTCAACACCTCTAGTTTTGACTTTCTAAACTTTTCTCATTGAATCATACTTCTTGAATAATATCTTCTAACCCTGACCACTCCGATAACTTCTAATACCTTTACTACCTCTACTACTATTGGATTTGAATTGAAAATTATATTTCTGTGCTGATGTGGTATGTCAACATGAACTGATGTGTGTACGTACGACGTTCGACGTTGCATCTGACTGACTGACTTTCCCAACTAATCGATTTAAAGTTTAAACAGTAAGGAGAAATAATTCTCAAACATTTAATTTACTGTTTCTTGTTAGTAGTATACAAATCACAATTGATCACGAAACCTAGATTTAGTCATCATCAAAATTTAATCCATCACCTTGAAGTTATTTTTATATCTGTAGAACTTGTTGATCAAAATCCTGAAAGCATCTTATTTTCCAATCTAGTTATGTCTTGAATATGAGCTTTTCCAATTAACTAATTTCTACCTTGTTTATAAATGTCCAGCAAAAGTGTTTTGACTGTGCTGCTGCCTGTTCAATTAATCTGCTGACTGTTGTTTGAGCCTTTGTTGCATTGCTGTTTAACCCATTTTCCAGTGTTGTTTATTTCAGGCAAGATCACTTTTTCTCGCTACGGTTTTCCCTACGGTTTTTGACTCCCTACCGTGAATGATTGATATCGTTTTTGTTAAACTTATGAATAATTTTTTTTTCTGAAAAAAATCCTTATCAAATTATGAAGAAAAAAAAAGCCTGCTTATATTATTGAAGCTTTTATTATATTTTTTTTGTAAAATTTCACTTGCATTATTTACTTGAAGTCACACTTATATATTTCTTCTTCAACAGTAGTGGTGTTGTTTACTTAAACTACTCTCTGTGAAACAGAATGTTTTTTTGCATACTATTGTTAACAGCGATTACTAGTTGTTTTGTTTTTTAAAGAAAATAATTCCAGTCGGTAAGTATTGATCTCGCGTTGTATTGTCGAATCGTCATTTTGTTTGTATGTTTTCATCAAGCAAATGCTATAATGTCTTAAAATATCTTATTTTTTATTGCAATGGCAAATAAAAATTTACTACACTGTTGCTCAATCACATATATACACTTACTTGTGTACATGCATTAGTGTGAAAATATCAAGTTGATTAACTCCACTGAAATGATCTGGTGATAGTTTGTTTACACTAATCATGTAAGAACAAAAAACACACTGCTAGAGTTCTTTGTTTCTATCATATCACCCTAGTCATTGTCATTAGCTTTATCTAATTAGGAGCTTGACTTAAATTATATATACAGTTCTCTTGGGTTAGTTTGTTTATGTTTTCAACATTTTGATTCTGATTGACATAAACGTTGAAGTATTAATTACCCTATGAATATATATATATATATATATATATATATATATATATATATATATATGTCTTTATACTCTAAAATTAAATGATCATTTATTGATTTTTTTTCCCCATTCTTTTTTTTAGTTTATGAGTGCAATTAAATCTGGTGCAGTTGTTCATTCACCTTTAAAGAAAGTATTAAATCGTACTCGAATTCCTGTTTATCGAAGTGGTGGTGGAGTTTAAAAGAAAACTTTCATCATGTGATCATAGTCACGCAGATTGGTCATTTCTAATCGTTTTGCCTGTTAAAGTTAATTTGTTTCGCTTTCAATTTTGTTCACTCTTAATTTTATGTATGTATGGGTTTTCGATCATGTTTCGTTGAAGATGTCGGTAATTCAACAGTAATCATGGATATTATAAGATATGAGTAGTTTATGAATACAACAGATTATCTCTTTTCACTTTTTATTCTCTTTTTTTTTAAATACTTTTAACTTAGATTAACTGAAATTGTTATCAAACAGATGCATGTATTCACTTTCTGTAATTGTGTGCATTTTTCGAAATTATGGAGTGTATAAAATCAAAAGACTTATTAGTTCTTTTGATTTTATTTCAACTAGTTAGCTATATTGTCATTATTTTTATTAGAATATCAAAGTTGTTTTTTGTTTTTTTCACTAAGCCTTCAGAAAAAATTGTTCCTATGTATGTATGGCAGTTGTATTTCCCACTATTAATATCACTTCCAAAGCAATCATTGTTCCACCTTTTTTTACTTACTGTCTGTCACATTTATTAATGATTAGAAATTTTCATGACTTCTTATTGAGAATCATGTTCAGTGTATACTCTTACTACTTTCATGAGTTGGCTTTTTTCGTTCATTTCTTTTTTTTTTACGTATTTTCATTCTTTTTCGGACAACTGTATCGAATAACTTCTACGAATTTCTTTTTTGACTATCCATGCATTATGATAAGGTCAATCAATACACACTCATAGAATTTTTCAAGTGTATACCTATATATATTAATATAAATAATAGATCCTAGTTTTCTTTCATGTTCAAGACCTGTGAGTCAATGGAAGCCTGCGTAGAGTGTTGACTGGTTTTTCGCCAATCTTTTCTGAGTTGTCATTATATGCAGCTTACTACCTATCGTTTTACACTGGAATTAATTTATGACCAAACAAGAAGTCGTATGATGAGTTTCGCTGTAGCTTAGATATCGGAATATAGTGATACATGCGCTTGTTGAAATACGCTTTTGTCTGCAAATTTTTCGACACAAATGAATGGTTGTTACCTTTCAAAACGTGGCGGATGGTAGGTGAATTTGGAAAATTAATTGGTATAGCCTAGAGTATCAGATTTTCCAATCTCCGTCGTTTCTGTATAATTTTAGTCATGGTTTCAAGATTGGTCACCTATTGCTAAGTCAGCTTGTTGATTTTCCTTCTTCATAAAACATTTGCTATGACTCTAGAGAGTTTCTCGATATACTGAACTTCATTTATAAACAGATGTAATCTAACTGTCAACCCCCAATTCACGAATGTCTGTCGTATGACATGTTGCAGAAATAACATAGGGTTTGGTTTCGGTCTTTATTGCAAACTAACATCCCTGTAAGTGGAAAATGATATGTTTAACGGCCATATACGTCACCGGAAATTGAAGCCTGAAGGTGCTATATCTCGTTTAAGCCATTAGTGTAGGAATGTCGTTAACTCGCCTTTGTTCTCATATGCGAAGCATTGGTTTATTTATTTTTATTTTATTCTCAATTGATATGTTAAAAGAGGCTTACCAAATTACAGACAAGATCAAATGTGGTAGAACTTACCATCAATGATTTGACATTTTGAAAAGAGTTTTAATATCAAATGGAAAGCTGGAATCTTCATTTTTCTTCTTTGTTTTTCCACAAAACTTCACAGAGGGTCAGTTTGAAGTCGCAATGTCGCCATACATTTAGGTACGGAACAATTATAGAAATTGAACATATTCGGGAGGCTGTTAATTGTCTGGACGTTCTCTGAAGTGGTTTGAAGTTATGTGAATCTTTCGCGACTCTTTCATATGAATCAAAATTTGCTACAAAGGTTTTTAAGGATTTCAACAGTTTTTCAACATTTCAAAGCCAGCACTCTATATATACACTTGATGAGTTTATGACAACCCCATATCTCTTAAAACGACTTAACAGGATGCGTAAGTGCTCTTCACGTTGGTCACTTGAAACCTGAACATCATAAATATAAACAAACCGATGATCAAGTACGCATTACGCGAGACGAGGTGTTCAAAATGCGATTTTACGTCCAAATAGTATCTTTACCAGTTTAGAAATTGAGTAAATGGTGATTGCGGTCGTGTTTTCAAATTTGTTGCAGTGTCATACTAATTCAATCGTTCGCTTTTAAGTAGCCTTGTTTGTCTCCCATGTAGCGTCACGGAACTTTTATTAACGAGAAATCTAGTGTATTTTCGGTGCGGTCTAGCTATCCAAACGACGATAAAACCCCCATTTGGAATCTAGTTGAAATCGTTTATGAATACCATGAATATCGAACAGGCCTATGAGTCGATTAATTGTCGTATGATGCAGAATTGTATAAAATGTGTGAATTTCTGTTTTTCATCCTTCAGCTTGTCCTTATGCGATCTCCCACAAATTTGACGGGCGTTTGTACTTGTATAACTAGTATACGACGTCATTGGTAACATTATTTGTTGGTTTTGCCGTAACTTCCATTTTGGATCATTGTACCGTTTACCGGTATACGAATATTATAATCTTTTTGTTCTTGTCTATATCTACCATTATACTGAACCACTTAGAAATCCAGCCCCAATTATCGGTTGTTTTGCTTTCTTACCATGAAAAACGCTGGCAGAGTAATAAACTAAAGTCAGTGACTGCTCCCCCTTCATTCAGATAGTAGCTGGTGTAACAATTTGTTTCTTGAAGTACTTTGCTGTGACTTGTGGAGATCTAAAAGCTTCACGATATTTGCACTTTTTCGACTTCCAGATTATCTTAGTCAATGGCTCGTGTTATTGCTACTTATCGCCTACTGCTTCGCTTATTAAATATGAGCTCATTTTGCGCATTCACTGAATCATTGGTTCACCTCTTCTTGTAAATGTCGCTTCTAACTCTTTCCACTCACATTATTTTCTTATAGAGTACGTTTTGGCTAGGCGCGCTTTTCGACTGGGAAGCACTTGATTAAAATGACTGAATTTACCAATTATTTTCCTTGTTCTTTCGCAAAAGTTTACCGACTTCAATTTAGATAATCTACCTTGATGTTTTATTTTCCAGGATTGTCTTTCGAACTTTTTTAGAACTAATGTTTTACTATAGCGAGATGAAACCATTATTATTCGCGAGATTACCAAGTTAAATCTCGATAGATCCAGAAATCAGACAGTAACTGGATGAAGAGGTGTATTGATCCGTGGTCTCGTGATATCGAAATAATATCAAGACTGGGGGATAAAGAAGCCGCTAACAACTACCGAGGAGAGACTCGGAATGGGAATCACGCTTGGCACGTGAGTAATAGTCTTAAGTACAGTTAAACACAAGGAGTACATTAGAATAGTTATTGCTAGAATCAAGTACAAAAATAAATGTTTCCATTTCAGCAATTGTGTTATCTTCGATTAAGTATACCACTACAATACTACGGTTTAACATCGGTTCGTTATTCGATTTTTACTGTTTTTCATGATAAGAGTCTAGTTTTAGTCTAGTCTAAGCAGTTACACTATCTCTTTTTTCTCGATGTTATTAACTTTTATACCAAAGTGGCTGATGAGTTTATTTCACCATAGTCAACAAGAGCGAGTTGACGTTATGTAATAAACTCAGTTACATAGAGTAACAAATACAAAGGCTGATTCCAGAAAGCACGTACTGACCTTATAACAAGTAACTATGATAAACTCACGAAGTCATATTGCAAGTGCAGATGCGACATCGTCAGTGTTCCAACCTTCCAAACCTTCCAATCTTTCGCTTGATTTGCAGGGCTCTGATGACGTGATGCAATAAGAAGATTTAAAGAGAATGTTCAAACTTCCACAAATTGACCTATTAATGGTTACTAAAAGCACACAAAAACCGTCGACGATTCCTTTGTTTAACGTTCACTAACACTGATGATGTGAAGGGCGTCCTACTGGCCAGTCGTTTGCTGAAATCTGGAGGTATTGTGAGGACCCTAACTGATATACCATATTCGGATCACCATCTCGTGCACGATATATCGTAGGAGTTTTGCGAAACTTTCTTTGCGAGAAGGAAGATCATTACTTAATGCCTCAGGAGTTGGGTTGTTTTAAAATATGAAGTTCGGAATTCTATAAGGAAACGTTGAAATGCCGTCATCATCAGAGCTAACAGACAGATCGAGAAAAGCAAATCAGTGGGACTTGAAAACATTCCAGCAGAGACACTAGGATCAGACGTGGCAGAAACTGCAAAAAGTCTCCATATTATCTTCAGCAAGATTTGCGAAGAAACGGAACTACTAGGAGACTCGAAAGAGGGACACCTCCTCAAGATATCAAAGAAAGGAGATCTCACCTAGTACGAAAGCTATAGAGGAATCATTCTTCTCTCGATACCAGCAAAAGTCTGCAACAGTGTTGTTAAACAGAATCAAATATTCAGTAGACACCCAACTTCGAGATCAGTGGTTACGAACCGGTCTGTACCACAAATGATCTCCAGAAGTTACAAGCTACCCAAATTTATTGAAAATCGTCCTCACCGTGTGTGAGGCCTGAAAGGCGAAATTCGAATGAAATTGTGATGACAGTATATATGGACTGGTTTATTCGTCTATAGAGCCTCTTTTCAGTAAGCCGAAGTTGCAGTTTCGCAGTTTTTAGGTTCTATTGACTTGACCAACAACGGCGATGATGCCATATGGATACTGGCAGAACAGTGTCTTCAAACGCTAACGACGTTGAGCTTCGAAAATAAGTTCGCAATCAAAATGATGGTTTGGCCTATGATGAAGATCTGACTCGAATTCCAGTTCTCGCGAATGAAAACGGTTTTCCTTTAACACTTTAGCCCATCTCAGGTGATTCTTTTCTAGACGTTTCTAGAGTTGAGAACTAACTAGAAGTGTCGGTATCCTACGATCTAAAGTTCCATGCCAAACGTGACAAAAATTACTTCTAAGACAATCTTGCATCGATAACGATAAAGCACATTTGAGGACAGTTTGATAGCAAAACGTTTCGTCTACTCATTAACAGCTTTATTCTTCTCCTTTTAGAGTATGGAACTATGGTGTATCCTCCTTCTCTCCAACAGGACAAGAATGCATTGGAACGTATCTAACCGTAAACTATGAAATCAGTCTGACTCGAACCTTATGAAGAGCACTTCAAGTTAGTGAATCCTTGAACGTTAGAGTGCGGGTGTCTCGAAAGTAATCTAATTACTCATAGTATTCTTATTACTCCTGAGAATCCCTTAAAATACTTATCTCGGCTCAGTCTCAGAATAATACTTAGAAAGAACCCTTGGAAACTAGAGGCACAAAATGTCAGAATGGATTGTATTCAAAGTCCTTACACTTTGCGATAGTAAACTTCTGGAAATCGCTACCACGCTAGGCGGTACAAGCGACTTTTCAGGAGTATGTAATGGCACGTTGAGTCGTGACTGACTATGATCACCACCGCCAAAATAATTACATGTCCGTCACAGAGAAGATAACATAATCCATAGAAGTGGATATATTTGCTGGCGATTTAGTGGTATCAGAATAATATCGAAATCGTGCCAGAAAAATGGAGCGAAGTTAGAGAGAGCGAGAGGAGTGAAACGGCAGCAATACAAACAGAAAGTTTGCGTGTAAAAGTGTAATTGACAAAAAGTACATTTAAACAATCACTGTTACAATTGGTTATAATAATAAATGTTTCTATCACACCAATCGTGTTATCTTGTTAAAAGTGTATCCACTACAAGTTTACTAATTTTAGTAGCCCATGGATTCATGATTAACTATGATCTGTAGAATCTTTTTTGAATGTTTTGTTTTTTGGAAAATCCCTCCATGTATATATATTTGTGTTATGATATGACTGACTCTTTCTGTTGGCATTTTGGTACTCCATTTGATTCCATTTTGAGATTTTATCATTGTATATTGTTATTATTTCTATATTTTGTACTTATATTGAAGTTTTTATGTTTGCTTCTGAACTGTACATATGTTGTTTAAATTTGATATTTAATATGGCTACAGCCATTTTGGATTTGATACCGTAGCAATTCGGACTGGAAGCACTTATTCTTCCAGAATCGGATACCCACCAGGGTAAATTAGATTTGGAAGGTGTAACAATAACCATTTTCTCCCAGGATTTTTGTGTTTTGGTTTTGGATCTGGGACGTTGAGTACCAACCTGCACCTATTGGAAACGGAGTGAATTGCTGGGGTAGAAAATCCATCTACAGATCATCACCACCAAAACAATTACACGTCCGTCACAGAGATGTTACTATCAAAGCAATCGCGTTCCCTTCACAAAGGCTGATTTTCTACATGTATTTCAGCATTAAACTTGACAGGACAGTACACTATGATGATTTATTGATAGTTCTCGTTTCCTTTCCAAAAATACCCAGATTCCTGCTGGAAGCATCGGCGATTCACTGCTACTAGACACACTAGTGAGAGCTTCTAATGGATCCCCAACCTTTCGAACGATCTTCCTCATTATTCTACACACTGCAACTAACTGATCTCCGATCTGGCCTATACCAGCTCGTAAAAAAGATAATGAATATATTGGGCTTCACTGACCCACTCCTATCTTGGCTCAGAAACTACCTTGAGAATAGAAAGTTTCGCACCAAGGTAAACAGAGTGCATGCGAGTTGGCGAGTATCCACATCGGGAGTTTCACAGGGGACCATCCTAGACACAATTCTCTTCCTAATATTTACTAACGACCTGTTAGGCTCATTTAGCTCATCGGCATTTGTTTACGCAGACAATGCGAAGATCTGGAAGTCCATTAGAAGTGAAAAGGTTTCGACTGAGCTTCAAAAGGACCTTATATCTAGTAAGAAATGGGCAGTGAAAAACGGTTTATAACTCAACCAACCGAAGTGCCACGTCATGTAAGTCCTGCCTCACATGACGCAAACGATGCATACCCTTAATGGAGCTCCGCTCCCTAATATCTCCTCAGAGCGCGATCTTGGTTTAATAACCACAGAAAGCCTCCACACACGTCCAAACTATGTGGGGGATGCAGCCAAGGCAAATTCGAATCTTCACTTTATGCGAAGACAGCTTGGTGCTATCACCCCGAAATTATTTTTAACCCTCTTTAAGACGTACGCGCGCCCACACTTAGAGGTTCACGACGTCATCGCATCCGCTCTGCTTAAAAGAGACATAAATCTCTTGGATCAAGTGCAGAGACGAGAAACCTAATGGGTGATAGGGTTGAAAAATAAACCCTACGACGATAGACTCCAGCTCTTGGGATTATTTCCACTGAGCTACAGGAGAATCAGAGGCGATCTGATTATGGCGTACACATTATTAAACACGCCAAACCAACCCAATGTGAGCATCTTACCGATGCATCACCACCACTCCCCTCGATGCAATCCTCGAAAGATTGCACATCAAAGAGTGAATACTCAGATTCGTGCACACATTTTCTCATTGCTAGTCTTGGAATGCTTTCCCAGCCGAGGTGACCGCAGCCCCCTCAGTGGACCGCTTTTAGAAGAGACTTGATAATCACGTACCCACATAAGGATTATCATCTCCTTATTGGAGAAGCTGTTGATGATGGATATCTTGAGACCTGCTAGTTGTAATCATTGCCATCTCCTCAGATCACTCAATTAATCCATCTCGCCTATTATCTTTGTTTCCTCTCCCTTGATTACACTACGGTCCTCTCTCACAATCTTCATTACCAATTAATAAACTAAATTCATCTATATATTATTTAGTTCTGAAATTTTATTCATATTAGCATTAGAATTTTATCCTTATTATCCTTATTACTTTCCAAATTGCAATTAACTGATCTCCGGCCTGGTAATGTGATGGCTGCTGGTATCCAGAAACCCTACTGCCATGAAACAAACGTTTTCATTCAAACCCCGAGACATACAAACAACCAACTGCCAACTGACTAGAATTAGACAGTCAAGTGGCTGGACCTCCATCCATTGGAAATTGCCGAACACCTGGAACCGTACCTAAAGAACAAGAATCGAGCGCGAAAAAATCAAACTGGTTTATACTAGCTCGTGAAAAAGATATTGGATATTGGATATCGATGATTTAGGCGCGAAAAAGTACACGCGCTATAAAAACAGACGAAGTTTCAAGTCTGCGATGTGTTGATGAGCCTATTACGCTTATATTATGTACGTCTACTTCTCGCTCTCTGAGCTCAGATCATGTGTTTATTATGTACGTCTACTAAGAAGAAACATCTATGAAATCTCGTTCACTAAGACCTCAATACTATTCGAAGAATAAAGCTACGTGGAAACATCGTAACAAAAGTAATGAGCCACTAGTTGATCAAACCATGGCTTTATTCATCGCTTGCGCAATTATAATTCTAGCGCTAAGACTGGAACGTAATACAAGTCGCCCTATAAACAATTTCACTGACGATTCTTCAGGTTAGTCATATAATCCTTACTTGGTATCGTCGAGTGTACTTTTTATTGTTATTTACAGCATGTTTTTGCATTTGGTCCCATATCTATGTGAACTGGCCTCTTAGGTCATCCATACCTTTATGGTCATAGTGGTGTTGTATTTTTATATATATCTAGAACAAATGACTCCTCATATTGCGCGTTTTTACAACTTGGAACCATCTACTGCAAGTCGTTTTTCTCACGCTCATTTTAATTAATATTATTTATGTCAGTTACTTAACCGCATGAGATGTAAGTTGGCACCAAACAGTACGAGAAAAATTCTTTTAAGTGAGAACGTTGATCAAGTCCTGTTTCACTTATTTAGCCCATCGTTGAGTACTGCTTCTATCGAGTCCGCTATTCACACATATGCCTCCAAACAAATGTCTTCAAGTAATTTACTCCACACTTTTTCGTGGTATGGCTTTTGTGGTTCCGTAAAATATCAGTTTCTGTACCTTAAAATTTACTTACCAGTTTTCCAGTTTGATTTGTGAACCGTTAAACGAAAACCCATTGAGGATTTACATCAAACTACCTGGCAGTTCACTAGTCTTCACATGTTCTTTGTTTTACCTCTGGTCATCTCTTATTTACAGCAGTGTATGTCATTTAAAGGTGTACCAAAGAAGTGCATTCACTTTATAGAAATTTTTTACTCGAACACCACTGGTCGAGTGAGACCTTATAGCGAACTGTCGTTGGAATTCTTTACTTCAAATGGTTTCCGTCAGGGATTTCAACTCTCCTCATTCTTGTCTTACTTTGTCGTAAACATTCTTTTAGAGTTAACTTTATCTTCATCTGACTTTTCTGGAGCAAACCCTTTACCAGGAGACTCACTTGTTGACATATAATACGCCAATGATATAGTTCTATTTGGCAAAGACGCTAAAAGAATGCAGTCTTCTGACTACCCTAAGCAACAATGCAAGTATGCTCAGGATGCGATTCTCCCCATCGAAGTGCAAAATGTTGCTTCAAGATTGGGTTGCGTCGGCACCTGAACTAGTGATAGGGAGTGAAGAAGTCGAACGTTTTGATCGCTTCACTTATCTTGGGAGTCTCATCAGTGCTGATGGCCTGGTGACTGATTAAATTTCAGCTCGGATACAAAAGGCTCGATTGGCTTGTGCCAATCTACGTCACTTATGGCGTAGACGAGATATCCGTTCGATAACCAAAAGACGAGTGTACTGTGCAGCAGTTCGCTCCGTTCTCCTATATGGATGTGAAACATGGCCGTTAAGAGTAGAAGATATTCGTAAGTTACTAGTATTCGATCACATAAGTTTTAGAAGTATTGCTCGTGTATCGTGGGGCACTCGAGTAAGGAATCCTGCCATTAGGAAGCGACTACTATGTAAGGGTGGCAGATCAACTGATGAAGTATTGAAACTTCATCAGTTGAGGTGGTTGGGACATGTGTCGCGAATGCCCAACCACCGACTTCCTTGTCGAACGATGTTTCGTGATATGGTAATAGGTTGGAAGAAAGCTAGGGGCGACCAGACCTAAACACGGCAGAAATCCATGAAGTCACAGACAGGTGGACTGAGTCATGTTGGTAGATGTAGACTACCTGGTTGGGGCCCGCGAGATAATAGATGGTTAAAGACCTTGAACTACATGGCTCAAAATCGTTTGCAATGGCGCAGGTGCATTCATTCACTGTGTTCTCTGAAATTCTAATCTGAATTTCTCATCATCTCTATCTTTCTCTTTCTAAATTTACCTCACTAATCTGTTCTTCTGGAATCACATATTCGAACCGTAATCTTCTGAATTACTGCTAAGATTTCTACTATTGCTGCCCTTACGGAATTTGAACTGATTGTTGCGTCTGTGTACTGATACGGTATGACAACCTGAACGTATATACCCATGTACGAAGTTCTACGTTGTAACTGACTGACTGCAGGAATTACATGCAAAGATAACACTTGAGTTCCGTTAAAATGGTCGGATAGCCAATATATTTGCTGCTGTCTTAAGCTATATGATTACTGTTCTACTGGAATACGAACTCGAAGATTTTAGAAACAAGTTGATCTCAAGGCTTCTTCACACAGTATCTTTGGCTTTTTACTTTGTAGATGTCCTTATCGTACGAAATTCTTGTCCATCAACAGAAGAAAAGCATTTATCACTAAATATCACTATTTCGCCCACGACATCATATCTCTCGTGTATTTACAATTTCTTGACGCCCATGCATGTATTACAGAGTACTGATGGTATCATCAATGCAGGTGCATTAACTGGTCTTCAACCTTTTTATGAACAACTTCCATATGGCAATCACACAAATCATTCAATAATAGATTACACGAACCTAAACTTCTTACCTGATCTTTCCATATGGAATGACAGATCCATCCTCATTTTCGCAACACATCGTCTCAAATTCTCGTCAACCTACACCTGTCCTGAGGTATATGTATGTGCTATTCCTAATAATCGACACAATAACACAAACTGCCACATTGAACTAGGTGAAGTAAGTTTACAGAAACATTATCTTATTATTTATCCTTATCAAATGATCCCTTTGTTAGGTTCATGTTTATCTCGATTTCGACTCACTTGTGGGTCAATGACACTACCCGGTTCCTCAAACTGAGTTAGGTGGAGCAAGGTTCATACTAAGGCTTGTTGAAAGACGAGTCCTTTAACTACTAACCTACCACTCCACATGTTTGTTATTTTGCAGTGAGGTTAAAAGTGCTTTTTCCAAAATACATTTGATTTTCAATTGATTTTCAGTGACTGACTGACTGATTGACAATTAGTTTTGGTATTTGTACTAATCATCCTGTCTGTTCAGAAATGCAGATTATTATGTGGATGTTCGAAGCTATAATTAACTTTAGTTGTTTCGGACTTGGTTGCATTGATGTCGCCGGGCTTTGGATAATTCGATATCGTGAAATCGGGAAACCACTGACATTTGGAAGGTATTGATAACTTGATGTACACTTGCCTATCGTGATGACCCAACCGAGCTATACTGGCTGGAACATATGTTCCTGAAGGTTCTACCATGCCAGGCAGGTCGATTGGAGACTGAAGGTCTGAGGGCGAAGTCGTACTGCTGACTGCAGAGGGGTGTGACAGCAGTTAGGTGTTTCCCTCGGACAACCAGCATCTGCAGCGATGCTTCCTTCTCACAAGGAAGGAAGAGTTACAAAAGGTCGACCCTAAAAATATCACACCTCACCCTACCTCACGGATTTCCGTCTCCGTCGGTAAGGGTTCCCACTAAGGGCTTTCAAGTGCGGAGCTAACACTCAAGAAACTTCTCATAAAAAGGCCGTGCGTGACTGGCCTCGAGCAGTTGTCCCTTGGGCTCTGCGGTCACGCTCCCAGGTCTCTAAGACCAACACTAATCTATCTTCCTTTTCAGGTCCCTCAAGAAACAACCTTCCAGGGTGTGGGCAGCCGGGAAGTGACAACCGCCCTCATACCCGTAACAGCACACGAGACCAAATTGGTCAAAATCAAATCCTTCCTACACCCCCTAATACCTCTCTTATCTCCACGTCTAACTCTTCTCACACTCATTTATCACAGTGCACAGCTAATGCAAACGATGCCAGTTCACGAAACGTCGTTCCCGGTCTCCTTAAACCCCGTTCTAAACTACATGTTGGAACATTTAATGTACGGACATTGTGTCAAATAGGGCAACAGGCATCATTAGCTAGGGCTTTAGAATCTCGTGCCATCGCTGTGTGCTGCGCCTCGGAAACGCGCATACAGGATCCTAGTAAAATTATTAATCTGATTTCACCTTGTCAAAATAAAGAAGCAGCTCGATTTACTCTTCGTGTATCCGGTAGCCCTGATGCTGCTTCCCGGTTCTCGCTGGTGTAGGTATAGTATTGAGCCGTAGGGCAGAACAATCTCTCCTTGAATGGATCCCTGTGGATAGTCGTTTGTGCGCCGGCCGACTAAACGGGACAGTAAGGATTCGAAACGATAGGGACACTCGTCGTTACCTCTTCGTCGTATCAGCCTACGCCCCCACTGACTGCAGTGCAGACGATGTGAAAGATGAGTTTTACAGATAGCTTTCGGACCTCCTAGGCGCTCTGATATAGTATTATTGGCTGGTGACTTTAATGCTCAAGTAGGTAGACTAAGTAAAAATGAAAGACACCTAGGTGGATGTTATGATGTCGCGGCTCACAGAACAGACAATGGCGACCGTCTGTTGCAACTGTGCTAAGAAAACCAACTATTTCTAGCAAACACTAATTTTAAGCATAAGGAAAAACATCTTTTGACCTGGCGACCCCCGAAGTCGTCTCAACGTTGGACGCAACTAGATCACATCGCCATCAGCCACCGATGGAGGGGTTCGATAGAGGACTGTCGCTCGTTCTGGGGCACATGTTTAGATTCAGATCATGCCCTAGTGCGAGCTCGTGTTTGTTTGAGGCTTACTGGACGTAGGAAAGACACTGTAAGAAAGCCTCTTAGGGCTTTACTTGATGGTGATGAAGCTAAGAAAATATTTCAGGAGGAACTAGAAAAACAGTTAGGCGACCATGCAAGTGATTCCCATCCGGATTCAGGTTGGAATGATATCAAGAAGGCTGTCGAAACAGCAGTGACATCTGCTAGCAAGGCTAGGATTAAGCCGTGGATTTCAGCTGCATCCACGGAACTGATGGATGCTCGAAAACGCATCCCATCTGACTCTGAACATGATAAAAGGCGTAGTCAGCTTAGGCGCCGACTTATAAAAAGCCTACGCAACGACCGTGAACAGTGGTGGGTGGCGAAAGCAAAAGCGATGGAAAAGGCAGCGGCGATAGGCAACACTAGACAACTTTACCGCCTTATTAAAGAAACTGGCATTAAGAACCCGAATGTGAGTGAGACTATCTCGGGACAGGATGGCCTTATTATTCATTCTCAATCCAGGAGACTGGACCGATGGGCAGAACACTTTAGAGATCAGTTCAACTGGCCTCGAGCCACACTTCGGTTGCCCACGATCCCCAGTCATCCTGAATGGCAAGTCGACGTAAGTCCCCCTAGTTCTAATGAAGTTGAGAAAGCTATAGGAAATCTGAAGCGAAGTAGAGCAGCAGGTCCTGATAGACTGACCCCTGAGATATTTAAGGATGGTGGTCAAGTTTTAACAGTTAGACTGACCGAGATCCTAGGTAGAATCTGGGAACTGGACGTAATCCCATCTGACTGGTCTCAGTCGCTAATTGTCCCAATCTATAAGAAAGGACAAAAGTCCTCTTGTGACAATCACAAGGGAATCAGTCTAACTAATATAGTTTCTAAATTGTTAGCCTCGATTATACTTAGACGTCTAACTAGAGCCCGTGAAGAGCAGATTAGAGAAAACCAGTCTGGTTTTCAACCTGGACGTGGTTGTATAGACCACATCTTCACACTACGACAGGTCCTGGAACACAGACATACATTTAGACGTTCGACAATAGTCGTGTTCCTGGACCTAAAAGCGGCATTTGACTCAGTGGATCGTGAGGTTCTGTGGCAGTGTCTGTCATTGAAAGGTGTACCAAAGAAGTACATTAACCTTATCTTCCACGGTGTGGGCAGCCGGGAAGTGACAACCGCCCTCATACCCGTAACAGCACGCGAGACTAAATTGGTCAAAATCAAATCCTTCCTACACCCCCTAATGTCTCTCTTATCGCTACGACTAACTCTACTCATACTCCCTTTTCTCACTGCACCGCTAATGCAGACGAAGCGAGATCACGAAACGTCGTTCTTGGTCTCCTGAAACCCCGTTCTAGACTACATGTTGGAACATTTAATGTACGGACATTGTGTCAAATAGGGCAACAGGCATCATTAGCTAGGACTTTAGAAACTCGTGCCATCGATGTATGCTGCGTCTCGGAAACGCGCATACAGGATCCTAGTAAAGTCATTAACCTGATTCCACCTTGTCAAAACGAAGAAGCAGCCCGATTCACTCTTCGTGAATCCGGTAGCCCTGATGCTGCTTCCAGGGGTCTTGCTGGCGTAGGGATAGCGTTGAGTCCTAGGGCAGAATTATCTCTCCTTGACTGGATCCCAGTAGATAGTCGTTTGTGCGCTATCCAACTAAACGGGACAGTAAGGACTCGTAAGGATAGGGACACTTGCCGTTGCCTCTTCGTCATATCTGCCTATGCCCCCACTGACTGCAGTGCAGACGATGTGAAAGATGAGTTTTACAGAAAGCTTTCGGACCTCCTCCAAAAAGCTAGGCGCTCTGATATAGTAATAATGGCTGGTGACTTTAATGCTCAAGTAGGTAGACTAGGTGAAAAGGAAAGACATCTTGGTGGATGTTATGGTGTAGCGACTGAGAGAACAGACAATGGCGACCGTCTGTTGCAACTATGCTCAGATAACCGCCTATTCTTAGCGAACACCAACTTTAGGCATAAGGAAAAACATCTGTTGACCTGGCGACCCCCGAAGTCGTCTCAACGTTGGACTCAACTAGATCACATCGCCATCAGCCACCGATGGAGGGGTTCGATAGAAGACTGTCGCTCGTTCTGGAGCACATGTTTGGATTCAGATCATGCTCTAGTGCGAGCTCGTATCTGTTTAAGGCTTACTGGACGTAGGAAAGACACTGTAAGAAAGCCTCTTAGGGTTTTACTTAATGATAATCAAACCAAGAAAATATTTCAGGAGCAACTAGAAAGAGAGTTAAGCAACCATGCAAGCGATTCCCATCCAGAAGCAGGTTGGTATGATATCAAAAAGGCTGTGGAAACAGCAGTGATATCTGCTAGTAAGGTTGACCATAAGGCTAGAATGAAACCGTGGATCTCAGTAGCATCCACCGATCTGATGGATGCCCGAAAACTCATCCCACCTGGCTCTGAACATGATGAAGAACGAAGTCAACTTAGGCGCAGACTTATAAAAAGCCTACGTAACGATCGCGAACAGTGGTGGTTGGCGAAAGCAAAAGCGATGGAAAAGGCAGCGGCGATAGGCAACACTAGACAACTTTACCGCCTTATTAAAGAAACTGGCATTAAGAACCCGAATGTGAGTGAGACTATCTCGGGACAGGATGGCCTTATTATTCATTCTCAATCCAGGAGACTGGACCGATGGGCAGAACACTTTAGAGATCAGTTCAACTGGCCTCGAGCCACACTTCGGTTGCCCACGATCCCCAGTCATCCTGAATGGCAAGTCGACGTAAGTCCCCCTAGTTCTAATGAAGTTGAGAAAGCTATAGGAAATCTGAAGCGAAGTAGAGCAGCAGGTCCTGATAGACTGACCCCTGAGATATTTAAGGATGGTGGTCTAGTTTTAACAGTTAGACTGACCGAGATCTTAGGTAGAATCTGGGAACTGGACGTAATCCCATCTGACTGGTCTCAGTCGCTAATTGTCCCAATCTATAAGAAAGGACAAAAGTCCTCTTGTGACAATCACAAGGGAATCAGTCTAACTAATATAGTTTCTAAATTGTTAGCCTCGATTATACTTAGACGTCTAACTAGAGCCCGTGAAGAGCAGATTAGAGAAAACCAGTCTGGTTTTCAACCTGGACGTGGTTGTATAGACCACATCTTCACACTACGACAGGTCCTGGAACACAGACATACATTTAGACGTTCGACAATAGTCGTGTTCCTGGACCTAAAAGCGGCATTTGACTCAGTGGATCGTGAGGTTCTGTGGCAGTGTCTGTCATTGAAAGGTGTACCAAAGAAGTACATTAACCTTATCTTCCACGGTGTGGGCAGCCGGGAAGTGACAACCGCCCTCATACCCGTAACAGCACGCGAGACTAAATTGGTCAAAATCAAATCCTTCCTACACCCCCTAATGTCTCTCTTATCGCTACGACTAACTCTACTCATACTCCCTTTTCTCACTGCACCGCTAATGCAGACGAAGCGAGATCACGAAACGTCGTTCTTGGTCTCCTGAAACCCCGTTCTAGACTACATGTTGGAACATTTAATGTACGGACATTGTGTCAAATAGGGCAACAGGCATCATTAGCTAGGACTTTAGAAACTCGTGCCATCGATGTATGCTGCGTCTCGGAAACGCTCATACAGGATCCTAGTAAAGTCATTAACCTGATTCCACCTTGTCAAAACGAAGAAGCAGCCCGATTCACTCTTCGTGTATCCGGTAGCCCTGATGCTGCTTCCCGGGGTCTTGCTGGCGTAGGGATAGCGTTGAGTCCTAGGGCAGAATTATCTCTCCTTGACTGGATCCCAGTAGATAGTCGTTTGTGCGCTATCAGACTAAACGGGACAGTAAGGACTCGTAAGGATAGGGACACTTGCCGTTGCCTCTTCGTCATATCTGCCTATGCCCCCACTGACTGCAGCCCAGATGATGTGAAAGATGAGTTTTACAGAAAGCTTTCGGACCTCCTCCAAAAAGCTAGGCGCTCTGATATAGTAATAATGGCTGGTGACTTTAATGCTCAAGTAGGTAGACTAGGTGAAAAGGAAAGACATCTTGGTGGATGTTATGGTGTAGCGACTGAGAGAACAGACAATGGCGACCGTCTGTTGCAACTATGCTCAGATAACCGCCTATTCTTAGCGAACACCAACTTTAGGCATAAGGAAAAGCATCTGTTGACCTGGCGACCCCCGAAGTCGTCTCAACGTTGGACTCAACTAGATCACATCGCCATCAGCCACCGATGGAGGGGTTCGATAGAAGACTGTCGCTCGTTCTGGAGCACATGTTTGGATTCAGATCATGCTCTAGTGCGAGCTCGTATCTGTTTAAGGCTTACTGGACGTAGGAAAGACACTGTAAGAAAGCCTCTTAGGGTTTTACTTAATGATAATCAAACCAAGAAAATATTTCAGGAGCAACTAGAAAGAGAGTTAAGCAACCATGCAAGCGATTCCCATCCAGAAGCAGGTTGGTATGATATCAAAAAGGCTGTGGAAACAGCAGTGATATCTGCTAGTAAGGTTGACCATAAGGCTAGAATGAAACCGTGGATCTCAGTAGCATCCACCGATCTGATGGATGCCCGAAAACTCATCCCACCTGGCTCTGAACATGATGAAGAACGAAGTCAACTTAGGCGCAGACTTATAAAAAGCCTACGTAACGATCGCGAACAGTGGTGGTTGGCGAAAGCAAAAGCGATGGAAAAGGCAGCGGCGATAGGCAACACTAGACAACTTTACCGCCTTATTAAAGAAACTGGCATTAAGAACCCGAATGTGAGTGAGACTATCTCGGGACAGGATGGCCTTATTATTCATTCTCAATCCAGGAGACTGGACCGATGGGCAGAACACTTTAGAGATCAGTTCAACTGGCCTCGAGCCACACTTCGGTTGCCCACGATCCCCAGTCATCCTGAATGGCAAGTCGACGTAAGTCCCCCTAGTTCTAATGAAGTTGAGAAAGCTATAGGAAATCTGAAGCGAAGTAGAGCAGCAGGTCCTGATAGACTGACCCCTGAGATATTTAAGGATGGTGGTCCAGTTTTAACAGTTAGGCTGACCGAGATCTTAGGTAGAATCTGGGAACTGGACTCAATCCCATCCGACTGGTCTCAATCACTGATTGTCCCAATCTATAAGAAAGGACGAAAGTCTTCTTGTGACAGTCACAGGGGAATAAGTCTAACTAATATAGTATCTAAAATATTGGCCTCAGTAATACTTCGACGCTTAACGAAAGCTCGTGAAGAGCAAACTCGAGAAAACCAGTCTGGTTTTCGACCTGGACGTGGTTGTATAGACCACATCTTCACACTACGACAGGTCCTGGAACACAGACACACATTTAGGCGTCCTACAATAGTTGTCTTCCTGGACCTAAAGGCGGCATTTGACTCAGTGGTTCGTGAAGTTCTGTGGCAGTGTCTGTCATTGAAAGGTGTACCAAAGAAGTACATTAACCTTATACAAGCCGTTTACTCGAACACCACTGGTCGAGTGAGAGCTTATGGCGAACTGTCACTGGAATTCTCTACATCAAGTGGTGTCCGTCAAGGATGTCCACTTTCTTCATTCTTGTTTAATTTTGTCATAGACATGCTCCTAGACATAACATTGTCCTCGTCTGAATTTTCAGGAGTAGACCTTTTACCAGGTGGCTCGCTTATTGACTTAGAATATGCCGATGACATTGTCCTACTTGGTGAAGATGCTGACAAAATGCAGAGTCTTCTGACTACCCTAAGCAACAATGCAAGCATGTTCGGGATGCGGTTTTCCCCCTCGAAATGCAAAATGTTGCTTCAAGACTGGGTTGCATCGGCACCTGAACTAGTGATAGGGAGTGAAGTAGTCGAACGTGTAGACCGCTTCACTTATCTTGGGAGTCTCATCAGTGCCGATGGCCTGGTGACTGACGAAATCTCAGCTCGGATACAGAAGGCTCGATTGGCTTTTGCCAACCTGCGTCACTTATGGCGTAGGCGTGATATCCGTTCTCTAATTAAAGGACGAGTGTACTGCGCAGCAGTTCGTTCCGTTCTCTTATATGGCTGTGAAACATGGCCAGTGAGAGTAGAAGATATTCGTAGGTTACTGGTTTTCGATCATAGGTGTCTTCGAAGCATTGCTCGAATGCCGTGGGACAACCGAGTGAGCAATGCTGTCGTTAGGAAACGAGTACTAGGTAAGGATGGGAGAGCAATCGATGAAGTGGTGAAACTTCATCAGTTGAGGTGGTTGGGACATGTGTTGCGTATGCCGAACCACCGACTGCCTCGACGAGCCTTGTTTTGTAGTGTAGGAGTAGGTTGGAAGAAAGTTAGGGTTGGCCAAACCAAAACATGGCAGAAATCCATGAAGTCATTGACGAGTGGACTGAGTCATGTCGGTAGTTGTCGACTACCTGGTTGGGGTCCGCGAGATGATAATAATCGATGGTTAGTGACCCTGAATGACATGGCTCAAAATCGTTTGCTATGGTGCAGGTGCATTTATGCTTTGTGTTCTCTCAAATCCTAATCTTCTGGATTCTTCAACACCTCTAGTTTTGACTTTCTAAACTTTTCTCATTTAATCATACTTCATGAATAATATCTTCTCATCCTAACCTCTCCGATTACTTCTAATACCTTTACTAGCTCTTCTACTATTGGATTTGTTTTGACAATTACATCTCTGTGCTGATGTGGTATGGCAACATGAACTGATGTACTTATGTACAAAGTTCTACGTTGCATCTGACTGACTGACATTAACCTTATACAAGCACTCCACTCGAACACCGCTGGTCAAGTGAGAGCATATGGCGAACTGTCATCTGAATTCTCTACATCAAGCGGTGTCCGTCAGGGATGTCCACTCTCTCCATTCTTGTTTAACTTTGTTGTAGACATCCTCTTAGAGTTAACATTAAGCTCGTCACATTTTTCAGGGGTTGACCTTCTACCACGAAAGTCGCTTACTGATCTAGAATATGCCGATGACATAGTTCTATTCGGTGAAGACGCTGACAAAATGCAGAGTCTTTTGACTACCATAAGCAACAATGCGAGCATGTTCGGGATGCGGTTCTCACCCTCGAAATGCAAAATGTTGCTTCAAGACTGGGTTGCATCGGCACCTGAACTAGTGATAGGGAGTGAAGTAGTCGAGCGTGTTGAACACTTCACTTATCTTGGGAGTCTTATCAGCGCTGATAGCCTGGTGACTGACGAAATCTCAGCTCGGATACAGAAGGCTCGATTGGCTTTTGCCAACCTGCGTCACTTATGGCGTAGGCGTGATATTTGTTCGCTAACCAAGGGACGGGTGTACTGCGCACCAGTTCGCTTCGTTCTCCTATATGGCCGTTAAGAGTAGATATTCGTAGGTTACTAGTATTCGATCATAGATGTTTAAGAAGCATTGCTCGTAACCGAGTAAGCAATGCTGTCGTTAGGAAACGAGTACTAGGATACAGCTGGCCAATATAAAGATGAATTAGTATGCTTAACATGAAATTTAGATACCTCAGTTAGTACAGTTTAATGCACGTCTTAACCCCAACACTGTTCATTTGGTATTCACATCAGAACTACTCGTACACAACAACCATTTGGAAATTGAAGTTTTCATGCAGTTTTTATGTTTTGGTTGCTACAATCGTTAATTAGATTTCGATTTATTTTCCAGGTTAGTGGGAGTTGCGAAGATGAAGTAAACGATCCCTATTTCTTCCTGTTTCCACTTGCTACTGGTCTGCGAATTGTAGTTGATGGTGTTGCTACATATTCCGACGATCATGATAACAGCATGCACATAATTGTCACTTCTGGCTGTAAGTTTAAACTTTTTGCTTTCAAGCTCTATAAAAAGCCTACTAAAGACTGGTTTTTCTGCTGTTTCAGGATATGTTCTTTTATAAACTATGAACATTTTACATGGCTTCCTAGCCAGTTATTCAGATTTTCACTCTGCATAGCTAATGTGCATACTGTCTCAACGCTTCCTTTTAGAGAAAACTATACAGGGCGATTCAATCTCAATGCTTACTAATCACTGTTGACTGCCTCACCGAACCAGCTGATTAGTCCTAACATTACATCATGCCGTCATCTGACAATGATATTGTAAATGTATCTGTTGGAGTCAAAGTATGCCTAATGCAGGATTGTTCTAGGGCACGCTGATTGGCATACTCCTAGCTAATCGGCGCTAGCGGATAGCTGGATAAGGTACTAGATTATTATAGAGGTGCTTACATTTTTATTGCTATGGTTCGTTCGCATTCATCCTGTTTTGTCTGAATATAATAACTGCCTGTTCAAGGCGTATTCTGTTTTTAAGGACCAGTTGAGAGCTGTACAGTGTTGAAGACTATTAAGCAACAAGCTATTGTGGCTGAAAGCCAAGAAGTATTTTTATTTATTAAAGTTTTCATATACTCCAGGATATTCTGGGATATGTTTGATTAATCGGAAACTATGTTCTTGAATATATACTCTATAATTTGTTTATTTGGCTCACTTCCCTCTACTTTAAACATCAAAACAAATCACACTGAAGATTAGATTGACTGTGGTGGAGTTTCGTTCTCTTAGCTGGATGTTTTGGTTGTGCAGCTTTCATTGTTCTTCTGAACAACATCATGAACACAAACTTCAGACAGAAGTCAAGTTTTCGAAATTCTGTTAACCCGATTGTCTCGAGTTCGCTCTTCACAAACTCTAGTTAGGCGTTGAGGTATTATCGAGACAAAGCTAATATTTTCAACTCTAAATTAGTCAAACTGATTCCTCTGTGATTGTCACAAGTGTGGCTGAAGGTCAGTCGAGTTGATCCCTGAAGTTTTCTTCCCGTCGATCTAATCTTCTACATTGAGAATGAATGGTAAACCCATCTTGTTCGAAGGCGGTCTCACAAACAGCCGGATTTCTAATACCGGTTTAGGATCCAGCTAGCTCTAGATTATGCTGTTCGACTAATCGTCATATGGAATCAGCTGTTCAGTGAACGTTGATAAAGAACTAAAACCAGTGAGCAATACTTCATTCGGTCACTGGTTATTCATCTGATATACTTCGGTTGGCCCGAAAATTCCATTTATATCGGATTTGTGGTATATTCATGATCTGTTATATGAGCCGTTCAGTTGTTTCACCTAAAGTTACTCACTCAGGCGCAGTTTTATTGATTTCTAATCTTTCTCTAAATCATAAGTATTGTTCCATATTTTCTATTACGTGATATCATTTGTTTCTTTTAAACTAGTTGTTTTATGTTTAACTTTACATGACAGATGATATTTCCCTTCTTTTGCTTTTCAAGTTGGTTTCCTTTATCTCTATTATAGTGTGAGGTGTGGATTTATGCATATTTGTGCCAGGTTTTACAGTGTTTAGACTGATTAATGATTGGCTGTGTAATATAAGACGATATTTTTGTTTCTCACAGAATTTAGTTATTTTGACCTCCAAACGATTATACCTAAAATACGACTGATAATAAATAATGAGTTAACGTGCATTCGTTATAAAATTGTTTGTAGTTTAAAGTGTCCATAACATAACGTAAGCACCATATCAGGTAACTAACTACTACTGTTGAAATATCATATCCATTGTTGCATGCGTAACCGCATATTGTAATTAATTTTAGTATAAATTGTGTTAATCTCTTTATTTACTTCCATAATTTAGATCGTCTTCAGCCGGGTGTTTTTACTTGTCCATCCGGATTTTTCGCTTGTGAATCATTTGATAAAATAAATGGACGCCACAACTCTCCATTGGAATGGCCTTATCGCATTTGTTTACCTTTAGCCTTATGGTGTGATCGCGTATTGAATTGTCCAATAACTGGTTCAGATGAACAGAACTGTTCATCTACACCCCCTGTAAGCTTTCCACACAATAAGACCCAGATTGAAAATGAATATCGAATGCTAAATGATGTGTTGAATCAATTTAAAAATAATGCAAGTTTATTAGAACTTGCTGGATATCGTAAAATTCCGGAACAATCACCCGTCATGGTGTTTGCATATGTCAATTCATATTGGTTAATCATTATGTTATCTATAATGGTTTTGTTATTTGTTATAACCATTTTATTATGTGCATATAAATTGTTGAAACGCAAACATGAAACAACTACAGTGAAAGTGATAGAAGATCATTCTAAAAATTCTAATCATTTTAGTGATCATGATGATGAAACATTGGAAACTAATATTATGAACACGAATCATTATTATTCAAAGAATGATTACGCCGCCAAAGATCATTTCTATGAAGATCAAACTTGTCCTAATGATTTTCGCGATAACAATAATGATAATAATAATAATAACAGTAGTAATAATAATGATATACATTATGTAAATGGTTATTTAAGCTCAATATCTAACCAAGAGATAACTCCACTGATCAATGTGCCAACGAAACAACAATATTAATTATATTGTATAGAATTGGAAATACGCTTGACGATGATATATCAATCAGTAGTGTTTCGTTTGTGATGTTACAGATTATTTCATTATTTTATTAACTGCATGGTAGAGTTCCTTTGTTTGTTGTGTTTGATTTCTTTTTTTTCATCCTTTACATTCATTCTCTTTGTTTAATGTATTTTGTGTTTTGAGATCGTGTGTACACAAAATGTTAATGCCTAATACCCGGTAAAATTTGAAAAAAGTAGTTTTTATCAACATATGGTGTTTTGGTTTTTACTTCATCATCAGAGTTAAATTGTCTATTTTAACATATCTATTTTCATTCTGGTTTTCTTTATTCATTGAAAAAGAAATCCAAACTATGAGGTGGTTTTATGCTTTCATCTTTTTTCGTCATCGATAAATTGTAAACTTTTTTTCAGCTTTAATATTCATTCAGTTGTTTGGTCTCAAAAAAAACAAAACAAAAACAAACATGTTAGAACCACTCTAATATCTGTCTTCATTACAAATTATTGATGACAAGTTTTAATGTGTATCGCAAGAATCACATGTTTTTTAACATTTGTTCTCGTTCATCCATTTTGTTATTATTCATTATGATGTTGTAACCCAGTCATCGCTATATGCACATTCACAGTGTCACTATTTTGCATTTTGTTTTATTCTAAATACATTTTCTGATTGTTGATAAAAGAAGCATTTGATTTTTTTTGTAATTCCTGGATACAATAATGCTCTATTATTTAGTGTTGAATTTTATTTATAAACCTAATAGTGATGTTAATCTATTTACTATTAATTAATAGTGAATTATGGAAGGAAAGATAGTGAATTTTCGATATAGACTAAGTTAGTTAGTAGGTATGCTTATTTTTACGATTTTGTCAGTATTTATCTGACTAAGCTCGATCAAAAGACATTCAATTGGTAATTTAAAATGTCTCAGGAATACTGATGACAAATCATTGTTAGGCTACAATATGAAACTCACTAATGCTTAACCAATCTACATCAGTTGGTAAACGTTCGCGTACAAGACTGAGAGTCCTAGGTTTAATTTTGGGATGCCAGGGTCGTTGATGCACAGTTTTGACAAGTCTCGTAAAAAGAAATTGTATTCAATAATGGTGGTTTGGTTGAGATCGGTTTGTGATTTAGAAACTTAAAATTCTATGATCTTCATAGAACCTCATAGTGAAAATAAATTATTGTCTGCTTTGGCGGTCACTGACATCAAATTGTGGTGGTAAATGGACGTAGTCATTTTTTATCAGGATGAGTAGGTTTGTCTCTAAAGCGTAAGTTAGTATTCAGACTACATATATGAAGAAGTGGAAGACCAGGTTTTTACAAAAGACAAATGCGAAGAAAGTCTTGAAAGAAATTAATCCAACAATATTCATGCAGTAATATGTACTAACCCCAATGTAAGAAATACTAACAGATAGTCTATTCCATCGTGTATTCACCCCGAAGTACCCAAAAAATCCCGAATAAGAGTCTAGGGAAGTATCTGTGCAGTAATTTAAAGCTTAGCTGCCGATTAAGTCACTCTGCTAGTTTAGAGAGTTTCATTTCCCTTGCAACATTTACTAGTTCGTATCGGTTTATGATGTGGAAGTTATTTTTTTTAGCTTACATTTTAGTTCACACTAATTTGATTTTTTTTATGCACCTTAATACCCAGGTATATTTGCTTGCATGTAGTCACTTATCATCCTGGTTGGGTTCTCCACTTGTTTCCTCAAATAATCTACTCTGCATTGCTAATTTAAGTATGCTTTTTTTAAAATTCATTATTAAACTAATAATGTAGTCATTACTAACATTTAAAGGCTAACATTAGTAGTTGGAGCTTATAAAATAAAGTATCTCGTGAATTGCATTTATTTGTCTAACATCAAATAAGATAGATAGTTTATGTTACGTTTTGTATAACCTTTTTTATTTTTTCTTTAAGCAATGAGAAAATACAATTGAAGAGTTTGGAAAATTTTAACTAAAGATTAAAAGTATGCTGAAGTTAGAATAAATTCAATTTAATTCAAACATTTTTAATGGTTGTAATGAAAAGCTATAATGAAGAGAATTTATAGATGATTGGATAAGTTAAGGAAATGAATACACAAAATGTATTAACAATTTCAAAAAAGAATCGAGAAAATCACAAGTGTATTTCTTACTTGTTTACTCATAAAATAGGCATAATAGACATAATTTCCTGGGTTTGTCTGAAATTGGATTCAGTAAAAAGTCATTGTTATTTAGGAATATAGTGACATAATTGTACACTACACTAATAATCGGAAACTCCAAAAATGAAACTGCTCTTATCCTCTTCTATCCTGTCCGTCAATTAGAGAGAAGTTCAATTTGTCTAGAAACTTTATTGACAGATGCACAACAAGAATTAATTCACAGTTGAATGCATTTAAATCGCCGAAATTGAAGTACAGCGAAACAGGTGGGTGGAGCACTTTGAACAACTCGTGAAGAGGACCACCCCCACTGAGCCCACCCAACATCAAAGCAGCATCCACAGACCGCTCAATTAATATTGACCCACCAAAAATTGAATAAATAAGCAAAGGCAAATCAAGTACAGCACAGCAGTAAGACCGGACAACATTCCAGCAGAGGCAATAAGAGCTGACGTGGCAGTAACTGCAAAAATATTCCACATTCTCTTAAATAGATTTGGGATCAAGAACAAGTACCAAAAGACTGGAAAGAAGGATACCTCATCAAAATACTTAAGAAAGGTGACCTCAGCAGCTGTGAGAACTACAGAGGCATCACCCTTCTTTCAATACCAAGCAAAGTCTTCAACAGGATATTGTTAAATAGAATGAAGGACTTCGTAGACGTCCAACTTCGAGATCAACAGGTTGGATTTCGTAAGGTTCTATCGTGTACCCACCAAATTGCATTATTATGGATCATTGTGGAACAATCAATTGAATGAAAATGACCACTCTACATTAACTTCATTGACTACGAGAAAGCATTCGACAGCGTGGACAGGACAACACTATGGAGGCTACGTCGACACTACGTCATTCCTGAGAAGATAGTCGACATCATACGGAATTCTTACAATGGATTAAACTTCAAAATCATGCACGAAGAACAGCTGAAAGACTCGTTACTGGTAAAGGTTGCTTACTCTTACCCTTTCTCTTTCTCCTGGTGATTGATTGGATTATGAAGGCGTCAACAAATGGAGGGACAGCTGGGATACAGCTGAACGATTTGGACTTCGCAGATAATTTGGCTTTTCTATCAAACAAGCAAAGATAAATGCAAGAAAAGTTGATCTGTGCAGCAGAAAATAGGTCTGAACATATTAGGGTAAAAGCAAGATTCTCCGACACAACACAACATACACCAACCAAATCACACTTGACGGAGAAGCTTTGGAATATGTAAAAACCTTACATATCTGGGGAGCATCATTGATGAGCAAGGTGGATCTGATGCAGATGTAGGGGCTCGGATCGGCGAAGCGAGGACAGCATTTCTACAATAGAGGAACATCTGGAAATCAAAACAACTATCAACCAACACCAAAGTAGGAATTTTCAATATAAATGTCAATGTATGGGGTGGAAACTTGGAGAACCACGAAAGCAATCATCCAGAAAATTAAAGTATTTCTTTAACAATTATCTACGCAAGATACTAAGGATCCGTTGACCAGACTCCATCAGCAGTAACTTACTGTGGGAGATAACACACCAGATTCCGGCGGAGGAAGAAATGAGTAAGAAGCATCGGATGTGAATAGGACGCACATTGAGGAAAGCAGTCAACTGCATCACAAGACAAGCCTTCACTTGGAATCCCCTTGGCCTAAGGAGAAGAGGAAGTCCAAAGAACACATTATGCCGAGAATGGGAGACAGATATGCAAAGAATGAACATCGTTTGTGTAGAACTGGAAAAGAAGGTTCAGGACAGAATAGGCTGGAGAGTGTTGATCGGCTGCCTATGCTTCATTGGGGTTAAGTAAGTAATTAAATGAACGCATTTAATCATACAAAATTGATTATTAGTTGATGAATTTGTCAAACCCAAATAATAATAAACGACAAATCATTTTGAATTAATAAAAACAATAAAAAAACACTGAAAGTTCAAATAAACAATACTGAATTAATTACTATAAACGAAATGGAATTAAAAATGAACTAAGTGAAAATCTTTATCAATATGTGAATTCGAATATTGATTTTTTCACATAATTTATATTTGTGAATTTCACATTCTCAGTATTCATTCAGATAAGTAATACTTAAGCTGATACAAAATAAAGAAACTAACTAGTATGTTGAAGATGTGTTTAACAATAATACAATCTATTCCAGTGATGAGGAAACTCAAATTTCAGATTAAAATGCTACTCATAATCAATAGATAAATCTCTACAAAATAAGTAACTAGTTTAAAATTATAAAACATTCAGTGACTAGTTTCAAGATTGACTTTTTCAAATTACCAGAAGTCATCACTTGTAGATTTATTTATGTCAGCAATGAAGTAATTATTCACCATTGAAATTCACCTTTGTTTATTGTGATATATATATATTCTAGTAATTTAACAAAAGTCTGATATTCGGACTATTTAATTTGTGTGGAAAAAACTCGGTTTTTGAGAAACAACAGCTGTAGGCCAGTTGATCTATATCGCCAGTTGGATTAAGTTCCTCTTAGATTACCCATTTTCTTATTCACGCCGTTTGTAGTGTGTGTACTTTTATGTCGAGACCATAGGGCTCGTCCCAGGCTTCGGAGAAATTAACCACTCCATTGTTTTGAAGTTATTATTCATTCGTCTTTTGACCTTGTCAGTCATTCGCTCACATTTGTTTGAGCACGCTTACTATGTTTATCGCATGACTGGCTTACTTTGTTTCACCATAAAAACTTAGTCATGCTTCATCGAAATGAGTTGGCTCACTGACCTTCTCCACTTTGCTTTGCTTGTACGTTTTTCATTATCAGGTGTGCATGCACGATTGCCGGAAATAAACTCATCCGGACGAATCCGTATTTGACTTCTTATTAACGCCGTTGCACAAACGGGGTTCACCTAATTATGATATACGGAAATTGAAGGGGAGATTTATTTCATAGCTGTTCAGAACGTTAGATCCCCAGAACTCACTTGATAAAGATCCTAAATTTGGATTTCGAGCATGGGCTGATCAGTTGACCTTGAGGTTACATTTCCCACCCGGAAAATCCTTGGCTGTTATTGGTTGATGTATTATTTTAGTACGCTATTTTTGTGGCTCTCTCAGGGACGTTTCTATGATGGATAAATAAACTTGATTTGTGTGCTTGTGAAACATCATATTTTCTGGGTGCTTGTAAAATACACTTTCTACGCCATATCAAGACTTGTTCTTCTACCTAGTGGGGCCTTGGGACGTTCGAATTAGAGTAGCCTATCGTGTCACTGGATCATTTTTCTTCACTCTCGTTTACCGACTGAGGTGAACTCGTAATAGTTCAAGCATATCAATTGACGAGAATAATAATAGCATATTTAATTGTTGGTAAATATCGGAATCATATCACGGGGCAACAAACGTTCATTGATTTAGACAATACCGTTTGTTTTGGTTGCAAGACCTACTGGCTGATGACTTAATTTAAAAAATGAAGTATATTATTTGTATAATGAACTGACTTTATCTGATAACTAGGAAGTAGTGGTTGGCAGTTCTGTTTCATTGATCTCCTCAGAAGTATGCACACATGACCTAATAATTTTCACTTACGTCTTTTGCTAAGTGAATTTTCAAGCATT